CTGCTCTTCCCAGCAGATGTCCAGGAAGTTCAGGTCCCCCATGACTCCCACATCCTTAGCCTTCACTACCTCTGTGAGCTGACCCAAGAATTCCTGGTCAAGCTCCTCTCCCTGGTTGGGAGGTCTGTAGTAGACTCCCACCGTTTAAGTCCCTCCTCTGCCTTCTCGCCAGGCGAGGTCTCGCTTACAGGGATTTCCCAGAGGGAAAGTGGCCACACAACCCCTGCCAGGCTGCACATTATCCTGGGTTCCCCTCTCCGCCACCTCCCTGCACGTGCCAGCACCTCAGCGCTGGCTTCCTGCTTGTTTCAGCGACAGGTTCCTTCTCCCAACCCCACTCAGGGTGCAGTCAATGGAGCCTGCAGGTTTTCCTTCAGCTATTTATTTGAGTTCAGAAGTGAATTTCCCTGTGGACATGTCTTTGCCCCTCTTGCTTTCCCCGAGCGCCTCTGCTGCCTTGTTCTTTAGCTGCATAGAGCAAGCCAGGGACTGGCCCCGCTGCAGCACAACGTGTTTGTGCACTTGGTTTCTGAAGGGACAAAGACAACATCTCCTGGAGCCTGGCAGAGCTCTCCAGAAACAGCACCCACGTGCAATACGTGTGCTACGAGGACCAGACGCATTTCTTCACTGAAGACACGTTCACGGTGTGCGTGGCCAAGCTGGCCGAGGGGCAGCATGCAGCTTCCAAGAGCTGCAGGAACTTTCTCCTGGCTGATAGCAGTGAGTGCAAGCATGGATGGGTCTGGTGTTTGGGAACTGCATCCATGGCAGCATCCGAGGGGTGCGTGTCCTCCTGGCTACCCCAGGCTGGTCCTGACAGGTTCTGGCTCAGACCTGACCTGACGCTGGCCGGTGGGGGAGTGTAGCAGGAGGCCAGCAAGCCCCGTGTCCTCACTGTCACAGTCCCTCGCTGTCTCTTCTTCGTGCGGTAGCAGGGGACCGTTCTCACTTGGGTCTGCTCCGTATCTGAGCAAAGCCAGAGTGGGCTTTTTAGCCAGGACCAAAAGCGACAGAGGGATGTCGTGCACACAGAGTGTGCCACGGACTTCCCCCTGCAACCCTCAGCAACCTTTCCTGTGGGGCAGCAAAGAGGAACGTGACACTGTTGCCACAGACAGGGCACTGCAGTCACACAGGCAGGCAGACCCTCTCCCCTGCTCAAGCAGGCTCTTGCTGGGGCCACTCATCCTCGTGCCAAGGGGGAGGGGGAGGCCGGGCTGTGTTGCCAGTTCAGCTCCGAGGCAGCTTGGCTGCAAGGCCAGCGGGTGCCCAGCAGCCAGGTAGCTCTGGTGCATCAGGCACACGTTGCACGTAGGCCTGGGGCTGGCAGGGTTTCAATGCCTGTGTTGTTCTGGAAAGGAAACTGGGTGATGAGTGCAGGCTGCCAGCTAGTGTCACATGTACGCACACGTGGAGGCATGGGCTTGTGCGCTTGAAGTGGGATAGCGGTCTGTTTTTCTGAGCGCTCGTGAAGAGGAGTTTGCACTGACTCCCTGGCCCAGCGTTGCTCCATTGCACCCAGGCAGGCAGGCAGGAGCTGACCTGGGAGCCCTGCCCCGCACCTGTGGGGGCACCGGGCCACTGCGCTGGGTGAGGTGCCAGGCTCCCCCTCTCCGCTGCAAGCAGGGAGGCCCAGCCGCCGTCCCCGCTCCTCTCGAACGCCGGGGCTGGGTGTCAGTGGGACCCTTGCCACCGTGCTGCTGGGGGTGGATTGCAGGGGAGGTGGTGGCTCTGGCATTTGCTGTGTCCTCGGGGTCACGTCAGCGCGAGGCCTCAGCCTGCCTTGCTGTGCTCCCTCCACAGTTAAGCCCTCCCCACCCTTCAACCTGACGGCCACATTCTCCGACAAATACAATATCTCTTGGGAAACCATCTACCAGCACCCAGACTATTACCTCCTGGGCGACGAGCTGGAGTATGAGCTGCGGTACAAGAAGAGGAGTGACCCCTGGGAGGTAGGAGGGGAGTGAGGATGCCCATGGCACAGCCCGGGCCAGCACCCCGGCTCTGACAGGAGGGGCAGGGAGGAGACGCTACATCCTCGGGGCGTGGGCAGTGGTTTCATTCACTGGCCTCAGCTGGAAACGCTGGAAGGGGCAGGACCTGCGGGCACTGGGGCAAGGGATCCCTGTGTCGGAAAGGAGCTAGGTTTGGGGGGAGGCTTCTGGCTCGCTTGTCTCAGGCTCTGGCCTGACTGTCACCAGACGGACGCTCCCCCAGCTAGTGCTGCGGCCCACCACAGCCCTCAGAGAAGTGACTGGGCAAAGGCAGAGAGAAGCAGCCTCTCCCTCCCCTCCTGCTCCCCGTGACGCTTGCCCCAGCGTTGGGGCTGGCATGGGCGGCAGCTGTGCCCCACGCCAGCCCTGACGCTCCGGCACTTTCCCTTGCGCAGAACCAGAGGACGAAGACAATACCCGAGGACAAGCGGAGCCTGGTGCTCCTGTCCCTCGAATTCGAAGCGGGCACCGAGTATGAGCTGCAGGTGCGAGCCAGGCCCCAGGCCAGCAGGGACTTGTACCACGGCGTATGGAGCGAGTGGAGCCCCCCACTGAGACTGACAACCAGCCCTCAGGGTAAATACACCCCCCGGCCCGTGCTGCTTTTCTGCTTGTCCCCGCAGCTGTCTGATGCTAGCAAGCACTTTCCAGAAATACAGTAAAACCACTTGAGAAAAGTGGTAGGTTAGCAAAACCATTCGGTGTCACTGACAGGAAAGAGCTGAACCCACGCAGGCCATGGTCACGCGGTTCACATCCCCTGCACAGACCTCGGGCCAGGGCCCCTCAGCGCTCGTGCAGGGACAAGGAGCCACGGAGGCAGCTGTGGGGCATGCAGAAAAGCCTGCTGTATGGGGGCAACTGGGAGGCCTGGGGGGCGCAGTGGGTCTGGATAACAAGGTGCTGCTGCTGCCTGGGTGCTTTGCACGGGTTTGCCGATCCGTAAAGGGTGCACGGCAAGGATAGCGGAGCTGGTTACTGCCAGATCTTCTTGGTCCCACTGCCTGCCCCTGGGATGCTCTAGGACAGGCAGGCCCCAGCACCAGTGCTCAGGACCTGCGTCCAGATCCCTGGGTGGAGACGGGCCTGCTCACAGCTCAAGCTCCAGGTGCTTCCCTGGCCACGCGGTTCAACGAGCTGGCAGCCCAGTGCCAAGCGCGGAGCTGGCTGGCTCCCAGAGTTGCTGCCAGAGCTCAGAGCCATTGGAGGAGCCTTTGTGCAGGACTCTGCAGTCTGGTGCCTGTGAGCAGGGGCTGGGCTCCGTGACCCACCTGGCCCCTGGCAGCCTCGTGCCCTGGGAGTGCTTCCCATGGTGTTACAGAGCTGGGACATCAGCCCAGCCCATAGGACACCTCTGTATCCCTCCAGCGCTCCCCAGGCTGCTCCCATCTCTCAGCCCATTCCCCTTTCCCTGGAGGCCTGGGCAGCTGGGAAGGAGGAGAGCCCAGGACAGCGGGGGCACGAGGCTTTGCTCTGACTCCCGCCAGAGTCCTGCTGTTTGCAGCATGGCATCCCCGGGACATGGCCGGGCATGTGGGACTTGGCGCTGCCTGAGGCCCTGCTCCAGGCAGGCCCCTGTCTCCAGAGAGCCGGCCCCTCCTGGGAAAAACCCTGAGCTTCTCCAGCCTGTCCTTTCCTGCTCATTCCTGCCCAAGCCACCCCCTGACCCTGCCTGTTCTTCCCTCAGTTGCTCAGACAAGGGGACCAGGATCAGGATCAGGATCGGGATCGGAATTGGGATCGGGGTGGCTGCTGGTGCTGGGCATCATCCTGGTGGCCGCTGTCTCCATCACGCTGCTGCTGACCAAGCACCGCAGGTGAGAGCGTGGGGCTGGGGGCCCTGCCCCTCTGACCTGGCCTCGGGCCGCCTCCGATTCTGTGGGTCTTGGGATGCCAATGAACCCGGGACGTCCAAGGCCCGGGCTGCAGCTCTCCCCACGCAGGAGCCCAGGATGGGGAGGCTCCTTTCCAGGCAGCCTGATCTCCTCTGCAAAGCCCAGCCTGACCCTGCCCTTCGAGCTGGGGCTTTGCTGGAGCCGGGCTCAGTTCTCGGGCGCGCTCTGCCCTCTGCTGGAGGCTGCTCCCGGGCGGCCGACACTGCCGGGCTGCAGAGCGCAGCCGGGGTGAGCAGGGCCCAGCTTCTGTCTTGGGCTCTGCAACCCGCACCAGGCCAGGCGGCGTGAGGGCCTCGGGCGCCTGGGCTCTGGGAAACTGTGGCAGGTCCTGGCACCATGTCCAGCAGTGGAGTTGGGGAGACCACATTTCTTCTGGGGGCAGCAACTGTGACTTCAGGCGATGGCCCCCTCCCAGCCTGGGTCCCATCAGCTTGGGGCACAAAGACTTGTGTTCCCAAGGGGCTGGGGCCTGAGCGCCAGGGAGCGCGGGGCCAGCCCGAGCACACGGCGAGGGACAGCTGAGGTCACCCTTTCTGCCCTGCGGAGCACGAGGCTGGCCCCTTCCACGGTGTCTGCCCCAGGGCTCCCGTAGTGAGGCTGGCACGCCTGGGCCGTTGATGCCAGCGGCCAGACCCTGGGGCGTGGGGCGCTGGGTGACACCTGCTCAAAACTGAACTTGTGCTCTCTGCTGCTCCAGCCTGCAGGAGAAGATGAAGATTTTCATCCCGAACCCAGCTCCCTTCTTCAAGCCGCTTTACATGGTGCACAATGGCGATTTCAAGGTATGCCATGCCTGAGCTGGTGGGCTTGTCACCGCTCTAGAGCCCGGGGGTTTCCAGAGGAAAGCAGTGGGTGGGGAGAATGTCAAGCGGCGCGTGGGTGAGGACGGGGCCTTATCACGACCCTCCAGCTTGCAGGGTCAGGGGTGCAGAGGAGGCCGAGGGAAGCTCAAGCATGGTGTTAAGTGCCAAAGCCAGAGCAAGCCCTGCGGAGCCGTGGGCGAATGGGAGCCACGCTGGCATCTGAATGCAGATGTCTTGCTATCTCTTTCCTGCGCAATTTCCTGTTGTTACAGCAGCTCTTATCAGGGACACTTCATGCATCTCTTGTTTCTGCTGCTTTTCTGCTCCTTTTTGGAGACACACCTGCTCCCCCAGCAGGGCTCGTGTTTCCTTGTACTGAGCATAGAGGCTTTAGCCCACCCCAAAGAGATGGTTGGGGTAACATTTCACATCTCATGCTCTGGGCTTGTACAGCCTGCTTGCAGCCGGGTTGCAACTCTCTTGCAGGTGCCCCCAGCTCTGTATATCAGGCCTTTTGCTCTCCTCTTGCCTCCTTTACTGCTGATAACCCGAAACGGCCGCCTGCACCTCTGTGCCTCTCTGGAAGGTGGGTCAGGCCAGGGGCTGTGCCAGGATGGCTCTAGGACATACTTGCTCCTGGGACTGGATGGGTGGGGCCCTGCGTGCCCCCTTCCCTCTCTCAGAAGCGAGGGGCAGACATTCAGGACATGCGCAGACAGTGTGTGCCACTTAAGGACACACAAATGCTTTGCTCTGCTCACACCACAGGTCCATGCAGCCCAGCATCCTGTCTGCCACGGAGGCAGGGACTGGGTGCTGAGGGGTGGGTGCACAGGGCATGTCCACATCTCTACCCCCTGCCCCCCCCGTGCAGGTCCCAGCACTCACCCCAAGGTTCAGGAAGTCTTGATTCAGAGGCTGCCTCTGTCGAGCAAGCTCAACACCCACTGATGGGCCTTTCCTCCCCTTCTGATCTGGTTGAACTAGGTGAGGAGAGGCAGCACCTGTGAAGGAAGGGCAAGGGGGGTCCAGCCTCTCCTGCAAACAGCTGGTGCTGACCACTCAGAGCTGGACGCTGCGCTGCTTGGGCCCCCTGCCCGGGGACTCCGAGGAGCTGAAGGAGCCATGAGCAAGCTGTTACGGTGGAGACAAATCCTCCTGCTGCCACGAGCTCTGGTCCTCCCAGAGGGCCCGCAGCCACAGCCACAGCCCGGGGTGGAGCACTGCAGCCCATCTGCCCCTGCTTGGGCTGCCCCTGCTGCGGGAGGTGGCGAGCCAGCCGCTCCGTTCTCAGTCCCACCCTGGCTGAAGCTGAGGTGCTTCTGGGAAGTGAATGAATGTGCAGAGCAAAGACAAAGTCGCCCACGCAGCACAGCTCTGGCTGCACAGGCACAGGCTTCGGAGAGGATGTGGTGACCTTGCTAGCACCTGAGCAGGAACTTTACCAGCTGCCACGATGCACCTGCTTTAGGGCTTGCCCAGCCACAGTCTGTAGCACACGCAGGTTGCCAAAGCATTCCTGCAGGTACGGTAGGAGGCATCTCCTGGCTGTGCAGGGGGAAAGGCAGCAACAGGGCTTGGGACTTGGCAGGTAGCGAACATGAGACTCCCGTCACCCGGCGCTGATGGCGCCTTTGGAGACTCAGGTGCAGTGACAGAGAAGTGGAAGTGGAGGAGCGCTGCCTGCTCTCTGCGCTCCGCGGTGCTGGCCCTGGGGCATAGGAAGAGATTGCTGTCAGTGAGAGGTGGGAATGGCCTGTCTCCAGAGCTCCTGTCCTTTTCTCCAAAGAGTCTCTGAGCCTGGCTGAGCAGGTGGGAGAACCTCCTTGCACCCACTTATCAATAGATTAACACAAGCCAGGCCCTTTCCTCTGCAAGGGAGACTTTCCCCATGGCTAGAAACACACCAATCTGTTTCCCAGCACTGCCCCAGGTGCCTCGCTCTCCATGCAGTGGGAAGCAGCTTGGGCCCAACACTCCCCAGATGCCAGCCGGACACCCAGCGTAGTGCCAGCTTGGGCCCAACACTCCCCAGATGCTAGCCGGACACCCAGCGTAGTGCGACTGGTACGGTAGTAATGCCTGGCCCTGGCACAGCTTTTCCTAGCAGCAGGTATCGAAGCCCTTGACTGCGGAGGGCAGTGTCCTTGCCCCATTGGCTGATGCACAGAGACAGAAAACCTTTGTCTCGAGTTGCCCAGTGGGACAGCGGCTGAAGCGAGGACAGACCCCAGGTGTCCTCCTTCCCAGCCCTGCGTGCGGCTCCCGGCTCTGCTGGCTCCCTAATACAGTGGATGCAAGCCGGGCAGGGCCATACTGCATCTCCCTGCCTTCAGACTAAGAGCATGGATTGTCACAGGCTTGCGGGAGCAATGCCTGAGGTCTGCTGTGGTTGGAAGAGTATTTTTGGTTTGGTGTCAGGAGCAGCAAGGCACCTCTCAGACCAGAGGTGTGCACCTGGTCCTGAGGGGCTCACACACAAGGACTTACATGCGACACAACCCACAGGGACCCGAGCAGAGTGGAGGGGACCAGCTGGGGCTGGGCCCTGCCACAGGGAGCAGGCCCGGAGAAGGCTCAGTCTGCCCGAGGCCAAGCAGAGCCAGGGCCAGCGCTGGCTGGAAAAGCCAAGTGCTTGGCCAGAAGAAGCAGGGGGCATTGGCTGCCCGGAGCCCAAAGGGCAGAGGGGAGAATGCAAAACCAGGGAGCTGAGAGCTTTATAGAGCTGTGTCCACGTATACAACACGAGTGCCGCCAGGGCTGCGGCACCGCTGTCACGGCCCTGGATCCCCGCTGCTCCCAGGGACTTATGGCACTTGTGTACAGGGCCCTTGCTCAGCCCTGCCACCCCTGCCCAGCACAGCGGGGTGCCAGCTCCCGCTCGGCCAAGGGCAGCAGTAGTAACCTGTGTGTGTGCATGTGTTTTTGTACAGAAGTGGGTCGGCGTGTCCTGCACCAAGGTGACCCTGGATTTATTTGACTGGGGCACTGTTCTCCCCGAAGTGCTGGAAGTCTACAGCAAGCACCTGTCCAGCGATGTCCCCAAGGAGGAGAAGAGATTGCTGAGGAAGGACCCCCCTGGCAAGTCCTGTGGATCCGGCCTGGCAGTGTGTGGCCCGGACAGTCTGTCCCTGCTGTCCAGTCTGAACAGCAGCCACGGGACCCCAGACCGGTCCTACGGCCACCTCTCCATCGACACCGTCACTGTGGCCGATGAGTTCATGCCATGTTCTTCCCAGTGCCGCTGTCACAGTGCTTCCCGGGGTCACGAGCCATTGGGTGATGAAAGCGCTGGCAATGGAGAGGATGGCTACCCCAAGCTGGACCTTGATGGTGATGGCAGAGACAGCTCCAGCGCAATGGTGGCAGCTGACCTGAGCACCCAGGACAAGGTTGTTGCCTCGGGCTCTGTGTCCATGGACTTCTTGCAGGGGGAAGGGGTGGGTGGCATCTTGGGAGCCCTTTGTCTGCATCCCAATGACTGGGACTTGGGCAGCCCCACTTGTCTGCCTTCCCCCGGGGGTGACAGCACGTCCGACATGGAGGGCTACGGCTTCCCGCGCAGTGAGAGGACCATCGACGGGTACCCAACCATCTGCCTGGACCTGGACACCATTGACAGTGGCTTTGTGGACTCCGACTGTGGCAGCCCTGTGGACTGCGAGTTTGAGAGGAGCAGTCAGACTGACCCAGGGTCCGTCACGCTGGACAAGGAAGTCTCAGACTTCCCACGGAGCTACGTCAAACAGTGGGTCTCCTGCCGTCCTGCCACCCCAGTCGCCGGGACACCACCAGGCTGAGTACCAGGCACGTGCTCAGGGCTGTGGTGCTGTTCGTCACACAGCTCCCAGGCAAGGACTGACCAGGGCTCAGCAACACCATCAGAGCAGAACAAAGTGCATTTGGTGCGAACGGTGATGTGAGCTGGCAGACCCACAGAGATCAGCCTTTTCCTGGGGTTGTGTCACATCAGCTTAAACTCACTCAGGGGTCTGGCAGCTTCCCAAGTCCAGCTCCTGCCCACGGAGCTGTGGACCCAGTCCAGGAAAAGCAGACATATCTCAGGACCTGCCTTTCACTGAAGCAAATGCACAGGACATTTTGAGCCTGGCTTGTAGAGACAATGAGACTTTAAACTGACCATTCCCCGCTGTTCCCCATGAATGACGGTGGCGGCGGCTGCTGCTCCCTCGTGCGTGGGCTCTGCAAGTCCCCCTTGGCATGCGGCTCCTGTGATAGTTCCCACCCTTGGCCCTTAACTCCCTCAGTAGCAGCTCATACTTTTAGCTGTAGAGGCCCCGAATCACATCCTTTTGTCAGCGAGGCGGGAGTCACCCCGCGTGGCCTTCACCCGAACTGTAGCATGCAAGGGGCTGAATGCAGCCTGGGTCTCTCTAGGGCTTGGCAGCTGCTGCTCTGGGCCCTCTCCTGCTTCCAGATGCGTCCCCACCACCTCCCAAACACCTTAAATATGTCCTGCTCAGTGTCACGTGTCCGTGGCCTTTGGATTCATACAAGCCTTCATGGGCCGGTCGTTTGGTGGGGCTGCGCTCACACAGCTTGTGCACCTTGGCTTGGCTTGGCGGGGCCCGTGGGCACTGCTGTAGCATAACTGCGCGGGATGGCCCCTGGGCTGCCCCTGCCTGCAGCACAGGATGGATGCGTCCCCTGGTGCCCGGGCAGCTGCTGGTGTGTTGCTTGGGGCACCTGTGCTTACTGCTAATGTGCCGGTGCTAACGAGCGTGAGGGCCTGCTCCTGCAGTGTCTGCTGGGCACCAGTGGCATTTGGACTGGCAGGAACCGCAGGAACAGCCCTGATCGCTGTCCTTTCATCAGGGTGCACGTCCTGAGTGAGGCAGGGCCCCCTCCTCACTGGGTGCAAATAAACTCCTTCCTGTCTCTCCTGTGCTGGTTTCCTGCAATATCCCGGCCCCAGGGCAGAGATGGGACCTTAAGCCACTGCGCGTGGGGTGACGCGTGATGATGGGGGAGCAGGGCCCCAGGCCTGAGACCACCCGAGCCCCCAGGGATGCCGTGGCTGAGGACCTGCCTGCCAGGGGCAGCTGCCTGGCCTGAGCTCATCAATGCCTGGCATCAGACAAGTTTCATAGTTTCTCGGCCCGGAAGGGACCTGAGCAGATCATCGAGTCCAACCCCCTGCCGTGGCAGGAAAGAGTACTGGGGTCAAATGACCCCAGCAAGGTGTTCATCTAGCCTCCTCTTAAAGACCCCCAGGGTAGGAGCCAGCACCACTTCTCTTGGAAGTTGGTTCCAGATCCTAGCCGCCCTGACCGTGAAGTCACGCCTCCTGATATCTAGCCTAAATCTACCCTCCGCCAGCTTGT